TGGAATGCGGCGTCGACCTCAGCACGGACCACACGACGCGTGACATCCTGCTGCACTACGAAACTCGGAACTTCCCCCGCAGGCAGATCGGACGAGCGCGCTCCGAAAATGGAGTTTACGTCCTTGATTTTGACATCCCCGACTGCAGCGGCGACTCGCACGAATTAATCGACCTCGTGCCACTGCGCTTCGAACACATCCACCGCAGGGACTGGAAGCACCCTGACGGCAGACCGTGGGTACCACACCATCCCCACCCACGCGAAATGGCACTTCACAATCCCGATCCAGACGGGATATGCAGGGATTGCCACACACCGACGACCTCGTCGACCGCTACCGCCGGCAAGGGACTCGCCGCCATCGCTGAGGCAGAACGCCACATGCCTCCAAGTGAAGGGATGTCGCAGCTCGAGCTCGAAGTTGCTACCCTCGGCGTCTTCGGCACGCCAGAACATCCCCTCACCAGCTCCCCCTTACAAAACCTTCAGGGAATGCTGCGCGGAACTGGCGTCGGCACCTTCGATGCCCGCGGCGAGCCGCGACCCTACACTTACGAAAAATTCTTGGAGATCTGCCCTCATCAACGCGATTCGACGAAACTCACCGTGGAACAAGAGGAAAACTTGGCGCGTCACGAAGCTGAAGAGCTTCGCCAACTAAGCCTCGCGGAAGCCCGCGGCACCCTTGCTTGTGCTGCCTGGGGAGGTGAAGCGGCAGAAAATGACTCCAACGAAGGAGGATGGGGGACGAGCAACGCTAGCGGCTGGGGAGACAGCGGCGGATGGGGCGCCGCAACTGGCGCCGACAACAGCGCCTGGGGTACTCTCCGCGAAGAACGAAAGGGGGGAGAAGACGAAGTTAAGGAAAGTGAGGCAACACCCACAATCCTTCCTCTCGGTCGTCCCCCCCGTCACGCTCGACTCGCACTACCTCCTCCCGACAACCCCCCGAGCCGCGATCCATGGGACACCATCGACTGGGGCAACGAACCATCAACACCGCGTCGCACCGCCTACGGACCTGCCCCTGAACACCGCGAACCCACTTTCGTCCCCGGAACCATCCCTGGGACCAACATCCCACTCTCCGAAATTCGGGATAGGGAATTTCTGGCGTTAATGCTGACCACCGCAACAGAAGAAGAAACGGAGGAAACGGGAACACAACCAACTCCCGTACGTGACGAAGACCCCGAGGAAGCACGCGCACACTACATGCGCACTTCCGGCTTTCGCGGTGACGACACACTCTGGCACCAGCGGCTCGTCCACCCTTCCCGCGCAACGCTGAAAAACTGCATCGACGCAGGCGTCTTCGCTCCCGGCGCACTCCTGCGCCCCGATGGCTCCGAAGTAAGCGGCACAACATACCCACGCAGCTGTACCGTCTGCCCTGAAGCTGCGCTGAGCCACCAACCGTTCCCGCTACTCGAACCTGGAACGAATCGCTACCCCAAGCTGCACAAGGTGTACAGCGATTTCCTGAACGTGGGGCATTGCGGAGTCGAAGACGAAATGTACACACTCACCTTCATCGATGCCGGCACGCGCTACGTGTGGATCGTGAATGTGGAGACGCGCGACAGAGCATACGAAGTGTTTCGGCTTTGGCTGGCGCATGCGGAGAGGCAATCCGGGAAGAAACTCAAAATCTGGCAATCTGACGGCGCGGCAGAGTTCAGGAGCAACCAGATGCAGACCTTCCTGGCACAGAAGGGGATCGAGCACCACATCTCTCTCCCTTATGCGCACCAACAACAGGGCGTAGCCGAACGGACCAATCGCACACTGATGACAAAGGTGCGCGCGCTGATGAAGCAGTCGAAATTGCCGCCGATCTACTGGACCTACACGATGCACCACGCCGTACGGGTGCACAACCTACTTTCAACCACCGCAATCACCGGCAATCTGTCCCCGCACGTCAAATGGAGCGGAACTAAGGGAGACACCTCCATGCTCCGAGTATGGGGGTGCATGGTTCAATACTGCCCGCCGACCTCAACCATTGGCAAGTTCGCCAGCCGTGCACGCTGGGGAATCCACCTCGGCATCAGTCACGAGCACAAAGCGTGGATCGTGCTGGACCTCCTCAGCCAGAAAACACGCTCGCGACGTCATCTTTTACGAGCGCCTCTTCCTCGACCAGTTCCGCCACGACGAGCAGACGAATGCCAATAGGGTCTACGCCAACGACGGTCACAGTTACGCAACACCTGAAGACGAAGCCGCTGCAGCAATCCTGGAGCAGGACACAAGGGGGGACTTCGCATGGGAGAACCGGCGCAGCGACGACGACGACGACAATGATTCCTCAGGAAGAGGAACAGGGGGAGCAGGCGGAACAGGCGGAACAGGCGGAAGGAACGGAGGCCCAACACCGCCAACACCTGAACCGGAGGACGACGATGACGATGTGCAGGAAATTATCCCGCAACGCCGCCACGACAGCACCATCTCAGGGCTGCAGCTGCTCGGACTTCACACCGCAACCTCACAGGCACCACGCATCGTCGAGCCCCGAAACCCGCGCGAAGCACTCTCTGGACCACACAGCAGGGAATGGCGCGAGGCGATGGACATGGAAATTAAGGCGCTGGAATCAGGCGATACCTGGGTGCTCGTCGACCGCGCAGCAATCAAAGGCGCAAGAGTTCTCTCAGGAAAATGGGTCTTCCGTGTGAAAACCGCAGCAGATGGGACAATCGAGCGCTTCAAAGCACGATGGGTGGTTCGCGGCTATGACCAGAGGCATGGGATCGACTTCGACCAAACGTTCGCCCCAGTCAGCCGCCACACCTCCGTCCGCATTCTGCTCGCCATCGCAGCTGCAAGGCACCTGCCACTCCGACAAATCGACGTGAAGAACGCGTTCCTATACGCGTTAGTAGACGCCGTGATTTACGTGGAGCAGCCACACACCTACGGGGAAGGAGACTCGCGCGTATGTGAGCTGCGTAAATCGCTCTACGGGATCAAGCAGGCCCCAAGGCTGTGGCAGCAGTACTTGCACAACATCCTGCTTGAAATCGGGTTCAAGCAAATGCCGCACGATCCAGGGATGTATCGCCGTGACTTTCGCGGCGAATACATCCTCCTCGCTGTGTACGTCGACGACCTGCTTTACACGGGATCAAGCAACGAACTTCTCCAGCAGTTCGAAAAGGCTCTGGCGGGACGCGTCGACATCACATGCAACTACGAGGTGAAGCAGTTCCTAGGCCTCAACATCACCTACGCGCCCAAAGCCATTCACCTCTTAGCGGCTAAGTACGCAGAGGAGTTAGGGAAGCGGTTCAACATTTCACCTGCACCCCTCTCAACTCCCTACCGAAACCCCGGACCGAGCCACAAACCTGACGCCAAAGCCCTACCCCCCGCTGGGATTCAAACTTATCAGCAGCAGTTGGGATGCCTCCTCTTCGCCTCTGTCACCTGCAGGCCAGACCTCTCCTACATTGCAAGTGAGCTAGCACAATACTCACGCAAACCAACGGCTGAAAATCTTCTGGACCTACAGCGCGCCCTCCAATATTTCGTCTCAACGCCCAAGATTGGGTTACGCTACTCCACTGCACCAACCCCATTCTTCAATCTCACCGGCTATGTAGATGCCGATCACGCAGCAGATCCCGACAATCGACGGTCCAGGACAGGGTTCCTATTCCGACTCGAGCCTACGGGACCAATCTCCTGGAACTCGCAGAAGCAGGAGCTGGTTGCCCTGTCATCAGCAGAAGCTGAATTCATCGCAGCAACAGCAGCAGTTCGCGAAGGACTCTACCTACAGGAACTCCTGCAAGAGGCAAAAATTCCTGCCTCGCCGACATTTCGCCTCCACTGCGACAACCAGAGCGCGATTCGCATCGCGAACAAACCTGGCTTCGTTAACCGCACTAAGCACATTGCGCTGAGGTACTTCTTCGTGAAGGACGAAATAGACAAAGGCAAGGTCAACTTGACCTACTGCCCAACTGGTGACATGGCAGCGGATTTTCTCACGAAGCGACTGCCACGCCAGCAGTATCAGCACTGCTCCGAACTCAGCGGCGTGGTCAGGCAGTCAAGCTAAGCTACGTCTAGGAGTGAAGGGGGGTGTTACGAATAGTAATACTTGATATTACTATGCACTCCTCACCGTAGCAAAGCACGCGCAATATCGGGAACGAACGCGAAGCGTCAGACAGTTGGAATCGAGTCAAAGAGTCGAATGGTTAGAGCACATCTGAACCGTCGAAAGCAAACGACATCGAGCAACTGCAAGAAGGATGGTTTTGGCGGGAACAGTTTCGAAACTGTACGCGCCGAACGGTTGGGATGCATTTGAATAAGGGAATGTAGCCCTTAGAGTAGATGGCTAGTTAGGTCGTTTCGAATTCCCTTGTACTCATATATATATCGCTGTATTTGCATGATCTCATCATCTCAAGCATTTTATATTCACTCTGCTATTGAGGTCACGGGCCCACCAACACTACCCACTGTGTGCGAACCTACCAGAGCAGATCCTGGGTTACGATCAACTTCTGATCGCAACACGGGGTAGCCTCGGCATTGGAAATGTAGGCCGAACGTGTGAAGTTTGAAGTGTCGGGGGGTTGTATGCGTTGCAGTCAACCCCGGTAAGGAATACGGAAAATTCCTTGCACGGTGAGGATGGAGGAAATTCTCCATGAACACCATGAACAGATAGTCAATCTATAATTGAGTACATAGCTATTCCGTGGTTCGATGGGAATAATTTGTCGTGGCTGGAGATCTCCTTACGGAGCTCCAGCAATTGATAGTCAATCGATTCCAAGTAGAGGATCCAGCGATTCTAGCGAGGCCCTTGTAGAGCGGACGGGCTCCGATTTTCACCACGCCCCGTCATCCTCTCTGCTGCTGACGAATGATTGACTTAGAGCGACTGACACCGAATCCCATCCACCCAGAGCAGCATTATCAGTTGAGGGTATAATGGTCACACAATCCTTGAGCGACCTCGCAAAGCGGCACATGGCGGAACAGAAGCTCTGCGGAGGTGCCCCGGCGCGAGCCCCGTGCTGCCGCCGCCGCCCTCGGCGTCGCTGCTTACCGTCCGCGGCGCCAGCAGCGGCGCACCTGCCCCTGCTACTAGCACTGCTCCTTCCGTCCGTGCTCCTGCCGCCCAACCAGCTGCAGCGCGCCACGGCACAGGTAGTACGCCCGTCGTGAGATTGTTCGTTTCTGCAGCTGCTGGATCATCGCCATGCGCACTTTGCGCTTGAGACGCAAGCGATCACATGCTGTACATTCTTTGTTGCCTCGCCTTCTGCCGCCACCCTTTCTCTCTCCTCTTCTCTCCCCCTTCGCTCCCTTCCCCCATCGCATCGTCCTCCCATCACGCGGCAGTTTCCTGGCTTCGGCGATCCTCTGCTGCTGTCGTGCAACGCGGCCGGCATGATGTGTGCCACGAGCGGCTACAAGTGCTACTCCTACAACTCCTCCTCCGTCCACAACTGTTCCTGCGATTCCACCCCCCCTGCGTGCACCAAATGGAATGGTACGATCCCGGAATGAATAGGCCGTACTGAGCGCCCCCCTCCATCTGTATTCCCTCCGTCCGTCAGTCCCTCCCCCTCCCTCCTTCCCTCTCTCCCGCTCTCCCTCGCACTCACTCCACCACTCCGCTCACCACCCGCCCTCTCCCCACGTATGTGCTCCGCAGCTCCGGTGCCCCGGTCGTGCACGGACCCGACAACCATTCCTTGTGTGCCCGGCGTCTGCCTCGTCACTGGCGTCTCCTTCCAAGGCTGCTCCTGCCCCAAGGGATTCTTCCAAACCGCCACCCCTGCTGGCTCCCCTTACTGCGCTCCCGGTAAACTCCCACCCACCCCACCAATTGATTTGATCATACCCGTGAAGTGTCCAGAATACGCGCATCTCTTGCACCTCCATGCGTGCAGTGGCAAGCGGCACACAGAGAGTGGGGTTTAGTGTGCTTGCTCCCGCCCTGGGGTGCTCTCACAGCGCTTGCGCTCCCGTCTTGCCAGTTGAAGCGGCCAAGGCAGATATGCAGTCCCGTTAGGTGTGATGAGTGAAAAAGCTGCTGAGGATCATGTGCGGCTGAGGATCATGTGCGGCTGCTGCTCTTCATGTGCTCATGATGGTGCTGCTTTGCTCATCGCGACGCTCTGTTTGCATGCTCCTGGTGACGCTGCTGCTGCACAAGCGCACTCGCAGGGTGAGGTGTGTGAGTGTGGTGCGAGAACCATACGGCCCGAGGAAAGGCGTACATGAGAGGTTGCGTGCGCTGGACTCAAAAGCCATGAGTAATGAAGCCCGGTGTTACTTCCCTTGCGATAGGCCAGGCAACTCCCATTCCCCCATGCCCGTGTGTCATTGCCTCAACCCTGGGTTTTCATTGTACAGGTGTTTTGTCTGTTGGCGGGTCATCACCGCCTTCCACCCCACACCCGCCACCACCATCACGACCACCACCAACGACAGCAGTACCATCAGCACCACCATCATCAACAGCACCACCAACGACAGCAGTACCATCAGCACCACCATCAACAGCACCACCAACGACAGCAGTACCATCAGCACCACCATCATCAACAGCACCACCAACGACAGCAGTACCATCAGCACCACCATCAACAGCACCACCAACGACAGCAGTACCATCAGCACCACCATCATCAACAGCACCACCAACGACAGCAGTACCATCACCACCACCATCAACAGCACCACCAACGACAGCAGTACCATCAGCACCACCATCAACAGGACCACCAACGACAGCAGTACCATCAGCACCACCATCAACAGGACCACCAACGACAGCAGTACAATCAGCACCACCATCAACAGGACCACCAACGACAGCACTACCATCAGCACCACCATCAACAGGACCACCAACGACAGCAGTACCATCAGCACCACCATCAACAGGACCACCAACGACAGCAGTACCATCAGCACCACCATCAACAGGACCACCAACGACAGCAGTACCATCAGCACCACCAAGTTCAAAGCCAGGCACGGAAGGCACCTCCTCTCAGCCACCCCCGGCAGGCCAGCCGCCCTCTGCAGGTGTGATACGTGCTGATGATTCATGCACTCTCAACAGTAAGAAGTGTCCTGACAACACCTTGTGCACGGCAACATGCCACCCCCTTTCGCCCGACTCCATCTTGTTCCACTGTCCCCTGTTTTCTCCTCCTCACTCCTCACAGATCAATCGTCGGGCATGTCAACGGGGGTAATAGCAGCGATTGCGGTCGGAATTGTTTGTCTTGTGCTACTCCTTGGCCTAGTCGGGTGCCTTGTGTGGCGACGCCGACAGCGCAAGGAGCATTATCAGCACGAGAGTGCTGCGGTGCAAAAGGCATTGAAGGCAGGAGCAGGGGAGAATGATGATGAGGAGGGTCGACCAGGTATGGCAGCAGAGAAGCTTCTGATACACTTTGTTCACAAAGCTGAAGCGCAGACGTTTGCTAAAACTCCAGCTTGCATCTCCCACTCTCTCCGAGACATCCTGTCAACGCTTATGCACACCTCAGGATTCGCCATCTTCATAGCCTCTCTTCCCCCACCCCCCTCCTCATTTTACCCTCCGTCTCCCTTTTCCCACCTCCTCCCTGCCTCCCCTGAGCAGAAGTCGTAGCAGCAGTTGCAGCAGCAGGCGCTGCAGCAGTAGTCCCTGCAGCAGTTTCATCAGCAGTCCCAGTAGCAGCGGGCGGGCCTGTGGTGTGTCGGGAGCTGCCGTACTGGGAGGTGGTGAAGGCAACCAATGAGTGGTCGCCAGGCAACCTGATCGGGCGGGGGGGCTATGGCGACGTGTACAAGGGAGTGGCGCCTTCAGATGGGTGCACCGTGTGGGCTGTGAAGCGCGCCCGCGTCATCACCAAGGACTTCCGCCGAGAGGTGCGCGCGTGCATGCAGAGTGCAAACGCTGGGATTTTAGTCATGGTGCTTCTGCTTACAAGTGCACTCACAACTCACACCACCTGCCGTGCTGGCGTGGTTGACATGGCATGGTGCATGACGTGGCATGGGCAGGTGGAGCAGATGGCATCGAAGCACCACCCGCACCTGGTGCGGTTGCTGGGGTACTGTGTGCACATGGATGCACGCACGGAGCAGCACGAGCAGATCGTCGTCTACGAGTTCATGGGGGGAGGAGACCTGCAAGCCTGCATGCCCGCCTACTCCCCCGACGCAGATCACAAGGGTGGGGAGTGCGTGGTGGGTGGGGAGTGCGGGGTGGGTGGGAAGAGTGGGGAGGGTGGGGGATTGGACAGAGATGGCCTGTTGTGCTGTCCTACGTGGGTGTATGTCTGAAGGTCAAGCCAACGTGGGGTGAAGGTGAAAGCAAGGGCACACGTGAAATAGCAGGTGCATGTGTGAATAAGCCATCCCACCATCTCCATATTCCATTCCCATCATGCCTCTCCCTTCCCCACCTCCCATCACACACACACTCCCAGGCGCCACACGGCCGCCTCTGTCGCTGCAACAGCGCGTGCAGGTGCTGGTGGGAGTGGCGCGTGGGCTGCAGTACCTGCACAGCTTTGGCATCGTGCACCGCGACATCAAACCCGCCAACATCCTGCTCGATGCCCACATGACGGTCAGCACGTACACACATGCTCGCACACATGACGGTCAGCACACACACACATGGCAAATGCACCCACTCGTGCCACACATACATGCGCGAACACAATGACAACGTTTATTATGGATCGTTGTTCGTGTTGATTATCTCATGTGCATTCATTAATTTTCTGTACAAGTGATTCCTCCTGTAGGGTAAGTAGCCTTCCATCTGCCTCTCCTTCCTCTTCGTTCCACACTGCATTCTTCCACCACGCCTGTACCTTCCATGCACGGCAACGTGGCAGGCCAAGGTGGCGGACTTTGGGCTGGTGAGGATGGGCGATGAGAGCACGGGCGACACGACACGCATTCTCGGCACACCGGGCTATGTGGACCCCGCATACTCCAAGTCGCGCAAAGCTGCCCCCACCAACGACGTGTACAGGTGGGCCGCGCTGCTGCTACCGTGACTGGTGGAATGCCGATGGCCGGTGGTACAGTGTGGTGTGCTTGGTAGAATGGTCTGGTGGTGTGTGCTGTGGCGGTACCAGTGGGTGCGAATCTTGTGGACGCCTCAAGTAACGTGCCACTTAGCTGCCACTTGGTGGTGCGTAGGTGCTGCTGCCTGGTAAGCACAGTGGGTTTATCTGGTGGATGGATGTCAACCCATGCTGCACCGCTTTCCACTCCTAACATTTGTTTCTTCTTCCCTTCTTTCTTTCTGCCGTGTCGACCACTTGATGATGCGTTTTCATCCTCGTGCCTTTCCATGCTGCCACGTTAGGGCTGATAACATACACCTCGCCATTTATGTTCATGTGCCAATACAAACCATGCCACGTCTTCCATGATCTTTGTGACATCGCATCCGATGCCCATGTTGATATTGTATGCATACTGTGTGGAATTAGCAGCTATGGCATAGTCATGCTGGAGCTCTTTACATCCCAGAGAGCAATCTTGCAGGAGGGAGACCACAACGTCAACATCAGGCAATGGGTAATCTGTGCACTTTGCACTAGCCTTCGCACATCATTCCGAGTCATGTTCCGCCCATTGATCCAACCAAACCTTAGCTTTTTTTGTTGTTTTCCTTCCTTCCCCTCAGCAATTTCCCATACAATTACACTGTTGCAACTGGCTGTCGTTTTTTTCATTGCATGCCCTTGCAGGCTGAGCCGCTGCTGGCAGCAGGGGATGTTGAAACCCTCAAAGACCCATGCCTTGACGCTCCACCTGAGATCATTCTTCAACTGACCCAGCTGGCCCTGCAGTGCACAAGCATGCCTGTATCAAGCCGCCCCCACATGGACCAGATTGTAGTCAGACTGTCTGACTTGTACACAAAGCTATTCGGGTATGGCGAGGGTGCAAATGGGGAGTCCGTTGACTCGATTCTTGAGCGCATTCAGCATCCAGATTACTCGTTGGATGAGGCGATTGCAATGGCTGGTGCTGCAGGCAACCAAGGTTCCGTCTAGCACCATATTATATTTTCTGGACGTGGGCAATGGGCATCCCTTCAGTTGGAATGTTTGTAAGACATACGTTATAGAACAAGGGTTCAAATCGTATTCAACTTACCGTACACGTAGCATATAGGCCATGATTGAGAAGCTGGAATGGTTGTTCGATAAGAACTTATGTCGGATGGTCCAACAACGAATCAGAATTTCCACACCTCTCACATAATGCATGTGCACATCAAACTTCCAGACCCGACAGTGCTGTGGATTTGCTTTGCAAGCCCCTTAAGGAAGAAAGGCAGCGGCGGAAACCAATGGCGCGCAGCCGCTGAAAGGCGCGCGGGAAGCTGCGAGTTGTAGGCGCGGGTGGAAGCTGCGAGGGCGGAGGCGCGGGACGCGGTGGGTGAGATGCGCGAGGAGATGGGCGCGCTGAAGGCGGAGCTTGCGCAATTGAAGGGATCGGCGGAACAACAGGCGGCAGAGGTCGGCACGTGAAGGCGAGCGGGGAGAAGAGCCGCGCGGAGCGCGAGGAGAGCAGTGCGGGGAAGAGGCGGAAGAGGGAGGAGCCCGCGGGGAAGGAGGGGAACATGACAGGTGCTGCTGCGGGCACCGAGCCTAAGGTCGGGGGTAGTGCGGCCGAAGGACAGGGGGATAGCGCGGAAATCGAGAAGATGGCGGGAAGCGACTCTGAGAGCAAAGAGGAGTGGGGAGCGAACGGAGAGGAGGATTTTGATGTGGGGGCTGAGCTGCAGGAGCTGTGCGATCGCGTGGTGGCGCTGGAGACGAATGGGCCGGGTGCCAAGACGTGGGAGGTAAGTGCTTGATTGGTTTAATTGGTCCTTTCTAGTACTGCTGGGGCACGGATGGCTGATGGAAGGTGTTCATGCCAATCTATTTCACATCGGACGCCACAACTTACTTGTTTGACCTTGCTGCTGCCCCGTAGCTGCAGGCACCGCTGAAGTTGTGGAGCAAGGTTGCACCGGGCGAGACTAGCATGAACCTTAGCAGCTGTGTCTCCCTCACCGATGCTACTCTCTCTCAAGTCGCCTCCTTGCGCTCCCTCACGCGGCTCAGCCTTCGAGACTCCTCCGGCTTCACTGCAGAGGGGTTAACACATCTCTTCTCCCTCACAGGTCTCACATTGCTAAATCTGGCACAGACGAATGCAACGGTCACTTCTCTTGAAGATATTAGCAACCTTAAGGTACTTAAAGCACTTTATCTTGGTGAGACCAAGATAACCGATGCAGGAATAGTGAAGCTGGGAGGGATGAATGCACTTGTAACATTGGTCTTAAGTGGTTGTGAGCTGGTCACCTCTGCGAGCATGGTGCACGTGGGAAAATTGACGTCATTAGAGTATCTCTTGCTGGGTGGCAGTGAGGAAGGGCTGAAGCACTTGACTGTGCTCACCTCCCTGAAGCTGTTCAGCTTGCCTCCAGGAATGACCGATGCCACTTTGAAGCTCCTGAGGAATATGAAGCGCCTGGAGAGGCTCGGGCTGTGGAATGCCAATATTACAGCTGACAGTGTCAGATGGCTCAATGGGCTCAAGGGCCTTGGAACTGTTGGGCTGAGTGCCCCTTAGGATCTTTGGTAGGGTCAAACTCAGGATAGAATGATGTGATAGCGGAAGCGTTCAATAAAGAGATTCTTGAACCACCTTGCGCTAGTGTGTGAGGGCAAAGTAAGTTGATTCAAGCATGCAAATACAAGGTTTTATATAAGAGTACAAGGAATACGAAGAGATACGAATGATAACTATTTTACTGTTCTCTGTTGCGGTTCGATACAGTGCGACTCGGGCAACTGCTCAGTATCGAGTCAGTTGTGTGTCCTTGCTGTCGCGCTGTATTTGTCAAGTCAAAGGTCGCTGACCTTTGACCTTCGCGTAACCTCCAGATGTTACTTCAACCTCCGAGGGTTGACTCGCTGGTGCCTCGATATGATCTGCTTTGCTTGTGCCTTGGTGTTTCGACACGATAGAAGCGCTTTTAGGACCGATTGTTTCCAACACTCCCCTTCGCTTCTGGAGTGTCGCTGACGTGGCTCTGTCCAGTCAGAACATGCAGTATTCGAACTTCTGCTTCCTGAGCTTCTTGGTCAGATAGTCAGCTGCCATCTCGGACGTGGGGCAGTATGACAGCTCGAGCCTTCCCTTCTCAATCTCGTCCTTCACAAAGAAATATCGCAGGGCGATGTGTTTCGTCCTGTTCGCGAAGCCGTTCTTGTTGGCGATGCGAATTGCAGATTGGTTGTCGCAGAACAGAGTGAAGTTGGGTAACTCAGCTAACTTCGCTTCTTCTAGCAGTTCGCGAAGGTAGAGTCCTTCCTTGGTGGCTGAGCAGAGTGCAATATATTCTGCTTCAGCTGACGAGAGAGCAATTATTTCTTGCTTGCTCGATTGCCAGGAGATAGGCCCGATAGGCTCGAAGCGATAGATGTAGCCGGTGCGCGATCGTCTGTTGTCGGAGTCACTGTCAGAATCCCAACCACTAGACCATTGGGATAAAAGGGCTTGTTTCAGTAGCGGGTCAGTGCGCCCATAACCCCCCAGGCAAACGCGCCTGTAACCCCCCTAGGATCGATTGGGGATCTCACAGTGTAGCTCTACTGACACCCCCCCACACTGGGAGGCCCAGGACTGAGCACAGTGGCAACGGCCAACATGTGCATACACGGGGATTCGAACCCGAGACCGCTCTGATACCATGTCAGAATCCCAACCACTAGACCATTGGGATAAAAGGGCTTGTTTCGGTAGCGGGTCAGTGCGCCCATAACCCCCCAGGCAAACGCACCTGTAACCCCCCCTAGGATCGATCGGGGATCTCACAGTGTAGCTCTACTGACAGTCACCCGCGTGATCTGCATCGACGTAACCGATTAACTTAGGTGGCGTGGTTACGTTCTTGTGATATGTTAGGCCGATCGTTGGCGTACTGACGAGATAGTGTAGAGCACGGTCGAGTTCGGCCATGTGTTTTCCTTCGGGCTTCTTGAGATGAGTGGCGAGCTGACTTGCGGAGTATGAGAGGTCGGGGCGGCAGGTAACAGCTGCGAAGAGAAGGCATCCTAGCTTTCTCTGGTAGTCGTGTATCCCGGCAGATTTGAGTAGAGTAGATCCTTCCTCGTGGTTTCCTGTCGCGTAGCGGTAGGGCGTAGAGATGATGGTAGGCGTGAGCGCGAAGCGTTTGGCGATGGTGTCGGCGTACTTAGAGGCGTTGAGGTAGATCGCGTCTTCTTCCTCTCGAATGTTCAAGCCGAGGTACTGTGTGACAGTAGAGGAGACCGTGAGTGTGAGGTCCTTCTATAACTCCCCTTCGAACCAGGTGGTGATGTCGTCAGTGGAGCCAATGTAGAGTAGGTCGTCTACGTAGACGATCAGCAGGATGTAGTTGGTATCCTTCGTGAGTCGGTACATTCCTTGGTCGTGAGGTAGTTGGCGAAATCCGATGCGAGTGAGGCGAGTGTGCAGGTACTGTTGCCATAGCCGCGGGGCTTGTTTGATTCCGTAGAGCGATTTCAGCAGCTGGCAAACCTGGTTGGGTTCTCTGTTAGTACCGTGCGGTATTTCGACGAAGATTTCTGCGTCAACGGGTGCGTAGAGGAAGGAGTTAGCGAAATCGATTTGCCGCAGTTTCTTTTTCTTCATGGCGGCGATCGCGAGGAGGATTCAGAGTGAGGTATGTCGGCTAACCGAGGCGAATGTCTCGGTGAAGTCCCGTCCGTGCTCCTGATCGAATCCACGCACAACCCAGCGTGCTTTGAACTTCTCAATTGTGCCATCTGCTTTTGTTTTAACGCGGAAGACCCATTTCCCGGTGAGAATGGTTTTGTTCCTTGCCACGCCGATGGGGACGAATTTCCAGGTGTTCCGTTCCTCCAGGGCCTTTAACTCTCTGTCCATGGCTTCACGCCATTTTTCCCTGTGTTGCCCCCCCAGAGCCTGCTGAACCCTCGCAGGCTCCTTAGAAAGAGTGTTGCCGTGGACTGCGGTGACGAGCCCGAGGATTTGCAGTCCAGTCTGTGAGTAGCGGGGAAGAGTTGCATCCTCAGGATAAGCTGCTTCATCTCCCGCTTCTGGATCGGGTAAGAAATTTGGTCCTACTCGTTCTGCTTCGTTGGTGTTGACTGTCGCAGGTGTTACGCAACCGTTGTCGGCGAAGTAGTAGAAGGTTTTGGCGTTGACACTTTCGCGAGGGTTGTCTTCGTCCATGGGAACGTCGACGGAGCAGAACGGAAGAGGTCCGGCTTCTTCTGACGCGTTGTCCACATTCTGCTCGTCCCAGTCAGCTTCGTCTTATGCGGAGGCGAAGGCTCGGTCCCCACGAAAACCACCTGTGGGATCTTGGTCCTCTTGCAGGTTGGCAATGTATGTCTGGAGCGTGAGACGTTCGTAGAAAATGACGTCGCGTGCTGCTACTGTTTCCTTGGAGTGGACGTCGAAGATTTTCCACGCGTTGTAATTCTTTTCGATGCCGAGGTGTAGTCCCCACTGTGCGCGTTGTGAAAATCTGCCCGCTCGTGCTGCTGGGAGTCGATACTGTACCATGCATCCGAACACTCGTAACATTTTTGTGCTGCCCTGTTTCCCTGTCCACAGCAGATGCGGTGATGCGTTGTTCGGAAGCGATGATGACGACAGCAAGTTGTGCAGCATGACGGCGTGGTCCATTGCTGCAGGCCACTGGTGGTTGGGTAGCCGCATGCCACGTAACAGTTTGCGCATGCTGTTCTGCAGAGTCCTGTTCATTCTTTCTGCTACACCTTGTTGCTGATGGGCGTAGGGAAGAGAGAGGAGCTACTTGATTCCCCTTTCCACCAGGTATTGCTTGAATCGTTGAGAGGTGTATTCTCCTCCTCCGTCTGAATGGAAGCTTTTCAGCTTTGCGCCCGAATCTCTCTCTGCTACTGGTAGCCAAGCAGCGAATGCTTCGAGGACAATGTCGCGGCTGGGTAGGTTTAGGTGCCAGACGTAACGGGTGGCGGCGTCGATGAAGGTGATTGTGTAGTTGTATATTACTTGTCCTGGTTCTCGATTGTACAGGATGTCGCTATACACCTTTTCGAGTGGTGCGTACGCGAGTGCGCTCGAGTTGTGACGAGGAGTGAACGGCCGATGTGGTTAGTCGGCTTCGGGGCAGGTGAGACATGTTCCTCGTGCCCGTTGGAGTTCTCTTCCGTCGAGTAGTAGTAACGAGTCATTGTCAAGGAATCCTGCTCTTATTATGTTGTTTAACACAGTGTTGCTTGGGTGTCCCATCCTTGCGTGCCAGGTGCTTTGGTCGGCGCGATGCCCGGGTGATCGTCGGTACATATCGGAGTTGGAGTAGAAGCTGGCGATGAAGTTTGCGCTACGATGAACTTCTCGTGGTGCTGGGTGGAGCTGTTGTGCAGGTGTTGGTGGTGTTTCCTGCTATTGCCGATGTTGTCTCTGCTGCTGCCGATGTTGTCTCTGCTGCTGCCGAATGTTGTATTGTTACTAACACGCGTGTTCGTTCTGCTTCAGGGATGGTATGTGAATACCAAAAACCTTCCGGGCTGAAGTCTGGATCAAGGTCTGGAGGATTTGTCCAGTCGGTGAAGTTCACGATGGCGTCGCTGTCTGCGGTGCCCAGGTCTGGGACGAAGTCGAGGACGAAGACATTGTTCTTCAGGACCGCCTTTCCGATGTAGAGGCCGCCCTTCCCGTGGTACAGCTTGAACTCCTGGGTGGTACTGTCGGCTTCCAGGTGTATGCCTTTCGCCATCAACTGACTGACGCTCAGTAAGTTGTAGCCGAGTCCCTCCACGATTAGTACTTTTGACATCTGTAGTA